GCTGCGGATGGGCAGGGGAAGGAAGACTGATGTGATGCCCCCGCCTCCTGCGCCACGAGTCAGCATGAATGCAGAGCGATGTGGGCTTGGGGGCAGCAGGAGGCCCAGGCTGAGTTGGCCTGGAAGACACACTGGGGAACACACCCAAGGCCAGCGTGGGCCCCGCTTGCTGGTAATCTCCACCTTGTTGGGCTCTTCTGTTTTTCAGTGACCAGGACGCACGATGTCTTGAAGAAGGCAAGGACTAATCTGGAGGTAAGGAGACCACCACACCCCCACCCGCATCTGTCGCCAGAGTCTGCGGGTGACCCTCCGCCTGCTTTGGCCACCGGGCTCCTGGTCCGCGGAGGAGCGCAGGCGGTCAGCAGGCGGCCAGCAGGCATCCTCTAGTCCCCCCCTCCGCCCTCCACTGGGGGCTCCGTCTTCTCTCTTTACTCCACTTCCCCCTCCTCTTCTGCCACGTCACGGCCCCAGAGAAATGCAGCTCAGTTGACTCTGGAGTCAGAGGCCCTGTGGGAGTCAGCCTCTGCCTCAGCCCCAGGAAAGGGCTCCTGAGGCCGGTGGTGTGCGCCGGGCTTTTCTGTGCTACTTTATGAAAATATAAAAGCAAAGTGCCCCCTACTATGTTGAATTCACTGCACACTATTGGGCCGAAAACAGCACTTTGATTTTGCTATATCCTTTTCTTTTAAGCAACATCACACAAAAAAGCCGTTGGGTCTTATTGACCTAAGAGAATTTCATAAATAACGGTTGAACCGTAGAGGGAAAGATGTGCTGTACACGGCAGACATTCTCTACAGCTGCTGAAAGCACTAACACACTTCCTAGCAAGTACTTGGCAGAAAAACTTGAGATGTTAGAAATGGCTTCACAATCAGAAACCAAGTCTTCTAACCTGGACTTTAACTGCTTTGCCATAGCAGCCGAGCATATTTCTGAATGGTAAACGGGGAGCATGTGGGTTTCCCCAGTGAGAAAATGGGTTAAACTCTGCACCCCCCCTCTTTTTTTTTTCTTTTTCTAATTCCCTCTTGTTTTTCTCTTGATGATTCCTTTCTTTCCTGAGCCTTTTTAGAAGAACACTTCCAAGATTGCCTCTGTAAAGCCTTATTCCTGTCCCAGCAAAGGTAACCCACCGGCTTCAGCTCCCGTTGGCTCCCCAGCTTGGAAGTTTCTCTCTACCCCTGCGAGGCCGTGGCCAGGGGCCTGGGCCTGGGTTCTAATCCAGGCTTGTCACTAACCGGTTGTGTGGCTTTGGCTGGCCTTCAGCTGTAAGAGGTGGCACCAGACCTAAATGATCTCTGATGTGGCCCCTTTTTCTCCTCAAGTAGGAGGAGCTCTCGCACAGTGTCCTCTCCTTCCCACAGCACGCAGTTCTGTGTGTGCATGTGTCAGACTGAGCATTCTCTCCCTGGGAGAGCACAGAGCCATCATTTTGCTGCAAAGTGAATTGGAGAGTGAGCTGGCCCCTGAGGGGGGTGGTCGGATCTGGCCACTGGGTGCAGGGTGGCTTGGAGCAGGGATATCCCGCTCGAGGAGGCAGAACCTTCCCACTAACCTGGTGGCACCCCTTGCTCCCCGGCCACAGGGCAGCCCCTTGGCTCCTCCTCTTAACAGGCCCTCGCTGTGCTGGCTTCTGCCACCACTCAGCTCCCTGCAGCCTCAGTGCCCCCAGAGGGCCGGACAACAGTCCTCACGTGGTTGTGGTTTTGTCTGCAGGTGAAATCCCTAAGGGCTCTGCCGCGCGCTCCAGCCTTGTGACCCTTGCCTTCCAGGAGCCATGCAAGAAGCGAAGCCACCAGAGGTCCTTAAAGCAGCAGGAAGGATGGGCCTGCCCCCCTTTCGTGCAGCTGCCTCTCTGCTGAGGAATCACGGCCCTGCTCCTCCTCTCCTGCGGGGGTCAAGAAGGAGTCAGATGCGGCCAGTGGGGCGGGGCGGAAAGCAGGGCCTCCCCTGCACTTACAGACACCAGCCCAGGCCCCTGTCCAGCACTAAGCAAAACACGCTGATCACTAAGCAAAACCCGCGTAGCTTGTAGAGGACCCGGGGCGCTGCTTGTGAAAGCCCCGGGGGCCCGGGACCCGCAGCCGCACATCTGCCCCAGCAGCTAACCTCAGTCAACTCAGGGGAACCAGGACCCCGCTTCCCACGATGGGCATGTGGTCCCGACACTGGAGCTGCTCGGCAGACCCAGAAGCACACGGCGGAGCAGTGGTGCCCTGCTGGGCAGGGGGCTCAGCAGCACTAAGAGCCACGCCTGCCCGGGCCAGCTCAGCATCCGCCCGCACAGCAGCAGTGCGTCCTTTCAATCCTCACGGTGGAAGGGGCGACTCCCAGACACCATCTCATGCTTAGCCAGCGCCCTCCTTTATTCTCCCGTGATCTCCAAAGTGTGCCGGCCTCACGCTGGATATGCTGTCCCGCTATCACCGGATTTCCCTCCGGGGGCTGGGGACACATGGCCAGGCCAAGCCATTGAAAGTCTGTGTAAAGCAAACCAGTGACCTTCGTAGGCGGCACGTGAGAGACAGTTGTGCTAAAGCCTACCTAGCCTGTCTCCGCGGTGCTTCAGAACGTGTGTATGTGTGTATAGCTGTATGATATGTATTTATATATGTTGCTAGAGCGATAGATTGAAGGCTGACATGACTGGTGGACAGGATCTGTGGGAGGAAATGAAACCTTTTTTTCTGGGGGCTATTAGAGCAAAACGTGCATAAAGAAATAAAAGGTTTTTTTCCCCGCTTTGTCTCCAGTGTCTGCCTCAGTCTATAGGCTGCCTGTGTAAGAGCAGGAAGTACACACAGTTCCTGACACATGTAATCGATTATTAATAGATATTGATTGAATACAGGAATGGAGCAAGAGGGATATAGGGAAGTACGGTCTTTATGGCCACACAGACCTGGGCTTGCGTCCTGTTTCTGTTATTTAAGAGCCTTGTAGTTCGGCAGGTTGTTTTCTCTTTGAGCCTAAGTTTTCTCGTCTGTGAAATGGGGAGGTTGTGGAATAAGTGAGGCTGTATGGCAAGCACTTGGCACAACACCTCACGTACGTTGGGCAGTGAATGGCTACTTGATCTTATGATCAACGTATTGATCAACAAGGCTAAAAAGCGAATCAGACGTAAATTCTGGCCTTGTTGAGCTTGCAGACGGGGAGGACAAGAAAAACCTGCACAACGAACCACAATACAAGGCAGGACACATGTGCTGCCTGAAAGTGCTGTGGTGTTTGGAGGAGGAAAATGAAGTTAGGGATGACAGGAAGCAGGATTTAAAAATGAGTTATATTCATAAGAACAAAGGAAACCCAAAGCTAGTGGAAGGAAGGAAATAAGAAAGATCACACCCTTCGGATGCCTATCCTGCCCCCCCAAATATCCAAACTACGGTGTTGGCGGTAATATGGAGAAATTGTACCCGTGTGCACTGCTAGTGGGACTGTAAAGTGGTGCAGCTGCCATGGAAAACAGCATGGAGTTTCTTCAAAAAATTGATAATAGAACAACTACATCATCCTGCAGATCTGTTGAAAGAAGATATAGTTGCACACGCACGTCCATAGCAGAATTGCTCTCAATGGCTAAAATGTGGAAGCAACCAAATGTCTACAGATGGATGAATAGATGAACAAAATGTGATATATGCAGACAATGAAATATCATTCAGCCATTTATTTATTTTAAAATATATTTTTGTTGATTTGAGGGAGAGGGAGAGGGATAGATAGAAACATCGATGAGAGAGAAACATCTATTGGCTGCCTCCTGCATGCCCCCTGCAACCTGGGCATGTGCCCTGACCAGGAATCGAACCGTGACTTCTGGTTCATGGGTCGACATTCAACCACTGGGCCACACCGGCCGGGCTCATTCAGCCTTTTAAAAAAAGGAATACATTTCTGATACATGCTATTACATGGAGGAACCTTGAAGACATGCTTAAGACATGTGAAGGAAGCCAATCACAAAAGGACAAAAGTAAGGGCAGGAGGGGATGGTGGATAATAAAAACATGAAGTCGGTGGATTGTGGTTGACGGTGTTGGAAAGTTAGGAGTAGGCATCCTAGAGCAGTGATGGCGAACCTATGACACACGTGTCAGAGGTGACACGCGAACTCATTTTTTTGGTTGATTTTTCTTTGTTAAATGGCATTTAAATATATAAAATAAATATCAAAAATATAAGTCTTTGTTTTACTATGGTTGCAAATATCAAAAAATTTCTATATGTGACACGGCACCAGAGTTAAGTTAGGGTTTTTCAAAATGCTGACACGCCGAGCTCAAAAGGTTCGCCGTCACTGTCCTAGAGGAAGCGTTCTGGGAAGATGAATGAATGGGAGAGTGAGGTGTCAAGCGTCATATCTTGGGGGTAGTGTGCTGATTGTCCAATGGCAAGGTCCAAGGCATGATGGTGAGAGTGGGCCTTAGTGTGTGGTGAGGAAAGAGTTCCGAGTGAGGAGGGGCAGGATTTGAGCAGTCACTGCTGGGGGTGTTCCACATGGAAGCTGAAGTCACAGAGCAGGGGTGAGGGAGAGACAGAACAAGGCGCTCGATGTCTTGGTGGTGGCAGGTCTGAGGGTGAGTACAGGTGATACAGCGGATGGCAACTGCTCCCGAGGCGCGGGGGCTTCTGCAGGGGAAAGAAGGAGAGAGGGTTTGGATATATTGGTGGGGGCGAGGAGGCGAGCTCTCCCACCTGCAGGCTGTTGTTCCCTAGTTGGTGAGTGGGGAGGAAACACCTGTTTCCGATGGAGGGGAGGCTGGGAAGGTGGACATCACCAAAGGCCCAGAGGACTCGGGGGTGATACAATAGTATGGGGATGAGTTACAAAACTTGTCAATCGTTTGGAAAATCCAACTATTGAAAGAACACAGAATCCTGCACAGAGAGGCACAGAAATGCTTTGTTAAATGAGGGATGGTTGTGCCAAGTCCTCCAGGACCCGGCTCCAGGCTTCCTTAACTCAGGGCTCTCACCCTCCAGAGCTGTGGTTGGGCCTGGGCTGCCTCCCACACAACAAGGCACCGCCATGTTTCTCAGCCCCAGCAGGCAGCGCCCTTAGGAGGAGGTGCTTTGTGCCCACCTTCTCTCCTTTCCGCGCCCCACAGGGCGGGCGGGTGATGGGAGACAGTTTGACTGTGTGGGTGGTTGAGTTCCCTGGGGGACCTCAGAGCCACCAGGCAGAAGGCATCCGAGCCGCACCGCCGGAGGGGCTCCTGGAGCAAACCCGCCCTTCCGTCTGGGAAGTGATGGGAAAGAGGTAAGTGCTCCCTCGTTTGGGTCCTAAATGCTATGCCGGGGGTCGAGGGGCAGGGGGGGTCCAAGTTCTGGGTCTGAACTTATATGCCAATTGCATGCTCTTTTATTTGTGCCACCTTCATGGGGTCACGTACGTGGCCGTTTAGAAACCTACAGTCTCCCCCGGCCTCAATCAAGATTCATTGGGAAAATGTGGAAAAGGCTGCATAATTAAGTTCAGTTTTGCCATGACTTCTTTACCACCTGAGGGCTTAGCCAACAAAGGTTAGTGGTGAGCCCACAGATATTGGAATGAAAAAAAGAGAGACTGAAAAGTACCACGTCTCTGTCTTGGTTTTGAGTCCCATGTGGGGTGCCATCTGTGCCAGGTGCCCTTCTGCTTCTGTTTGGGAGAACGGCTCTTAGCATTTCCTTATTTCGGGGTGAATTCCGCTGTTCCCCAAGCAACAAGGAGACACCACAATATAATTCAAGGCTTGAATTAAGCGCACATCAAGTGCAGCTACCAAAATAAACATGCTGCCATTGAAATGTGGCGCAGGCCATCTACACCGAGCATGTCAGACTCGCGGCTAGTGGGCCGCATGCCTCATTTACTTGGTCCGTGTTAGCCTTTGAGTTTGATATGCTAGAATAGAGCTACACCAAAGCCTTACATTTCATTTATTTAGTAAAAAACATGTTTTTATTGATTTCAGACAGGAAGGAAGAGGGAGAGAACCATCAATCGGCTGCCTCTCGCACATCCCTCACTGGGGATCAAGCCCCCTACTGGGGATGACCTCCTGGTTCATAGGCCAACGCTCAACCACTGAGTCACAGCAGCCAGGCCAAAGCCTTACATTTTTAAAAAGGTTACCTTCACTGTTCCGAAATGGGGTTTGCCGTGTTAGCCTTTGAGTTTGACATGCTTGATCTACACCAAAGCCTTACATTTTATTTATTTAGTAAAAGACGTGTTTTTATTGATTTCAGACAGGAAAGAAGAGGGAGAGAACCATCAATCGGCTGCCTCCCGCACATCCCTCACTGGGGATCAAGCCCCCTACTGGGGATGACCTCCTGGTTCATAGGTCAACACTCAACCACTGAGCCACAGCAGCCAGGCCAAAGCCTTACATTTTAAAAAAAGGTTACCTTCACTGTTCCGAAATGGGGTTCTTGGGGATTGGGATTGACTAACTCCTGCCAGGGCAAACCCGTTTGGCTGCTTCTGTAATGGGCACTTTAAGGGGTGGCACCAGCCCCCCCGCTCTCCCCATGCCGCCTGCGGGTGAACACAGCCGGGCAGGTTCAACTAGGGTTCACTTAGGTCAGAGACAGAGGGCTAGTCCCTCCTTGGATAACAAATAACACAGCTGCAAGTGCCTGGAATCACAGGCGAGAAACAAAGGCCACACAGACCCTCATCGAATCCTCGCCCTAGCTGGCCCGGGGCAGAGATGCACTTGTAAGGTGGGAAGTGGCAGGTGGGACAGGAGGGAGCAGGAGACTCCGCTAGAAGCCAGGTCCAGAGGGTGCATTAACTTGGGGATGGGGAGAAGGGAGGTAGAAAGGCTTTGTTTTGTAGCCTACATGTACTCAACTCT